GTTAAAACCACTAAAAGGCAAATGAGCATATGCTTTCCTCAAGATGTTTTGGAACTTAGTGGATAATGGAAGAAAAAACGTAATCCGTGCTGAAAACAAACTGTTTTGCAGTTTACAGCTGGAGATATGAAGAAAATTGGTGTTTTAAAATTGTTGTGAAGCATAAGAACACCTGCACTGCTGCTAATACAAGCAGTCTTTGAGATTTCATCACCATTATCCTTTATCTTTTTCTGACTGATTATCTTTCTTGTTGTAAAATTCAGATGCTACAGATTATGTGAATTGGACAATGTCATAAAACAGCCTGAAAAATTTTAATATCAAAATTTGAGGTCAAAGTACACAGATTACACGTGTAAAAAATGATAAAAACGTTGTAATAAAATCCTGGCTTCTGATTGGTCACTGCTCGTTACAGCCTCCCTATATCGCGGAAGTGGAACTTGTCAGAGTTCATCCTGCTGTCTCAGAAAGCCAGTGCTGCAGCTTTTGTAGCTTCTGTGACCCTCTCAAACCAGATAGTAAAATCTCAAAACAATGTCTCTGTCTTTCGAGGGAAGAGTCGTGCTTGTTACTGGGGCCGGAGGAGGTAAAAATCGCCGTTAGCTGAGCTGTCGACTATGTTGACGCTAAAATAGCCTCTGTATTGTTAGCACCAAATGCTAATCTGGTAGTTGTGGAGTTAGTTTCTTAGTGAACAGCCCAGTTATTAGGACGGAAATTGCATTAATCCTTTCTCTTCTTGCGCGTTTGTTAGCTGCACAGCTGCTCTAATCACGGCGTCTTGCTGACTGCTAACACTGGGCAATAACTGCAATATCAGTAAAGCAAGTCTTTGTTATTGTTATACAAAATTAGCTATTTTAATTCGAGCAGAAACCGACGTATGTCGGTCTTTTTATTTAATGGAAACGGAGATCAAAGTACGAATGTTGCAATGGCTTGTAGCTCCAGGGAAAGTGTGTGAAAGGGCATGCAGCAACGACACAGCAGTGCTGCAGGTGGTGATGGGTTTTTTCATTCTTTGGAAGTAAGCTTATACCTTTTACTCATGTGTCTTTCTTTGCACAGGTCTTGGCAGAGAATATGCACTGGCTTTTGCTGAGAGAGGTGCCTCAGTAATAGGTAAATAAAAGATATTCATTTTTTACTTATTTTACCTTGTGTTTCTATCGTAGTATTGTTAAGATGTCCTGGGACACGTGCAACAAAGCAGAATTTGGATTATCCAGGACAATGAAGCAAAGTCAAATCTTATTTATTTATATAGCACCTTTCAACATAAATATTACAAACAGCTACACAAGAAAAATTCCAAAACATTAAAATGAAAAAGTTACTTAAAAAAAAAAAAGTAAATTTAAAAACACTGAATTTTTGCTGCTCTTTCAAAGACATCACTGAGTCAACATATTCCAGGGTCAAAGGGAGAGCTACTGTTGGAGGATCGCTGTTCTCACCCTTATATCCTACACAGGCAGCTGACCCTATTCAAATGACCCCAAGGATCTCCTGGGGATGTACAGATATAAAAGTTCACCGATGTGTGCTAGTGCTTGTCCATGCAGAGCTCCAAAAGTCAAAACCAGAATCTTAAAAATTGGACTCTGAAGTTAATGTGGAGCATGTGGAAGTTAATTAGCAATGCTGTGATATGTGAAATCTTGGAAGATTTAGTCAGGTTCTGAGCAACCTGCAGATGTTCCAGGGAGGTTCAGGTAAGAAAAGTGAACACTTAATTACAATAATCCAGACGTGATGAAATCAAGGCATGAATAACAATTTCCAATTCAGAGCGTGACACAATGGAACTCAGCATAAAAGCAACAGCGAAGCAGAGATGTAATATGAGCATCTAGAAAGAAAGCTGAGTCAAATGTTACACCAAGTTCCCTGATAGATTTATCAAATGTGGTATAGGGACATAGAGTTTCCAGATAGGCAATGTACCAAGTTAAGCTGCCATGGTAACATAGCTGTAGGCTTAACCTGTGCTGGTAAACACCTAACCTGTAATTTAGTAAGTTTACATACTCCCTCCCTTTAGGTAGAGAATACTCTGTTTAGTTCATCTGTTTTTTAGCAGTCTAGCATCCACAATTTTCAAGTTATCATATTCAAATTTTGTGTGACAGTGGACACCAACAACTGCTCGAGCTGATTCCACTTTGGCGAAAATCGAGTGAAGGTCCCACCAAATGTGAAAATCAGTACAAACTTCATATTACCCACAATTTTTATTTTTTTTTATTTTTATTTTTTTATTAAATGGGTTGGCCTCAAGCTTCAGAGCGTTTACTAGGCCTTGGGGGACATGAGTACCTTGGTTGGCTAAGCATTTGACCTTGACCTTTATTGTTACTCCCCAAGGTCAAAGTTGACAATTAAATTTTTTTTTTTTTAAAGAAACCATATTGAGTAATATATCATATGAAAGGGCATGGAGAGAGCTGTACAACATATGTCTTATTTTTTCAATATGATGCCATAATAGGGTTATGTCAGAATCATAAAACATCAAAGTTGTAAATATAGAGCTTGCCCTTTGGGGGAAGTTGTGATCTCTCAGTGCTGTATTTTTATTTTTTTAATTTAAAAAAAAAATATTAGTGAGTATCATATTGGTATTCATATTTAGCTCCGCATGGATCCAGCTAGTTTCATATATCCTGTTCATAGTTTGAACATAAGGTTTATACCACTTTATGTTCATATGACTTGCTGCTGACTACACTAAAGCACCAGCTGATTTTTACCTGAAATGAGCAAAAATGTGCAGATTGCTGCATCTGTATGACATACTGGTGAAAATACCTGCTGGTTTAGTGGCGTTTCAGGCTGACGTTGAGTTGATTTGGGATTCACTGATTCAGTTTTAAGAGACTGCGACTGAATTCCATATTACTAAGTGAAACACATGACAGTTGGTTCCAAAAATGTGGGGCGCAACAGATCTTCTGTAACAAATGTCCTGAATTGAGGTGCTATACCGAATTGGGAGAGGGAAATGTTGGACTAAGATAAATTATATTGAAATTGTCGGTAAGAAGCTTGCACTATGACTGTTGGTTCTTTTATTCTTAAAATTACACAGTTGCAGGCATAAATATTTTCTAATTTCAGTATATTCCTCCTGCCATGACTGAATTTGATCTTAACTCTGTCAAGGAATCAGCTTGCCTATGCTGTTTTCTTAACCTAATCACTCATGGAGAATTGCAAAACTCACCCCATTATTGCTAATCTTTTTCTCCTTGTTGCAATAAAGTGAATGACCTTGGGGCAGACACTAAAGGAGGCGGAAAGAGTTCTGCAGCTGCTGATAAGGTGGTGGAAGAGATAAGAGCGAAGGGAGGCAAGGCAGTGGCGAACTATGGTGAGTTCTTCTCTTCTGCTTGCTTCAAGTATTTAGTTCATGTAGTGGCTGAGTGAAAAATAGTATTGATTTCTATCAGTTGGACTTGCTCAGTGATGAAACTGTTGGTGAGTATTGAAGATGTGTCTCACCTTTAGGAGAAAAAAAATCGTTTTTGAAAACAAAACAATCACTCTGTTTTATTGGCAATTTTAAATGTTGACTTTTTGTCCATTTTTTTTTTTTTTTTTTGCCACACATCACATCAATACTTAAACTTGAAAGAAGAGTGAGGCCATAAGCTTTATCATATGCCTCCCAAATCTGCTCATTGCTTCTGTATATATAACTATGAGCCAATTATAAAGGATGTTCAATATAGTCAGGCTTTCTTTGCGTTAGCTGGCTTGATAAAACCCCAGTTGTAGATAACGGGTACTGCAACAGTGGTTATCAACTTTCTTTGTTAAGCCCGGATTCCTGCTTCAGCCTCTGTGAGTGCTAACATAAAAAGTGACTTTTCACATGTCATCTGACTCTTCTTCTGCACAAATTGCTGCCTGCTCCGATCATTATCACATGATGATAATGATAAAATGGTGATGACATCTATAAATAAAATAAAAATAAAGCAGTGAAATGCAACATCTTGCAAATAAGACAAGAAATGAATGCCGCAGAAAATCATTAATCTTTGGATTTAGTGCACAGAGAGGTAAAATAAACAGTTTAACTTGAGTTAATTATGTTATCTGATAAATCTGATGGTTTACACTGATGTAACTTTACAGCTGAGCTTCATTCATGACATACGTAAGGTAGACTGCTTAACAACTTGTGCATATAAAATGTATTAACCCAGCAGAGCATCTGTATTAAATTT